AGCCTATTATTAGCTTATATTATAATTAGGTATATAGTAATAAATTTAATAATATATATATAAAAAGTTTACCTTATATATAAACTACTATAATTTAAATAAAAATATATTATAATTTAAATAAAAGGACTTTAGTAATAAGCTTAATAATAATAACTTTAATATATTAAAAATAGTAGTATTATTAAGGCTAGGACTAGTAGTATTACTAAGGCTAATAGTAGTAAAAGCTATTAAGTCTAATAGTAATAATAACTTTAAACTTAGCTAGTATAAAGTGGCTGTTTATAATGCAATTTCTTAATAACCCTAACTTTTTTAATCTTAAAGATCTAGCTTTCCTTTCTTAAAAAAATACTATTACTACTACCTTTATATATTAAAAAGGTATTAAAACTGCTGCCTATATATATTATACTATTATAGTAAGCCTAGGTAGCTGCAGAAGCTTTTTAATAAAAAAAGATTATAAAAGTCTTATAAATAGCCTAAAAGGCTATAAAAGCTATATAATAAATAGTAAATAATATAAAGAATATAAAAAATATAAAAGCACTTAAGTAAATTATAAAAGCTATAAATTTATAATAGCTATTATAATTAATATTACTATAAATTTTACTATTACTATTATTAAATATTTATAACTTATTTAATAAGCTCTTAGCCTTTTTATAAAGATTTTATTATAATTATAATACTATTATTAAAATTATAAAAAGCGCTAATTATTAAAAGGTTAATAATTAGTAAATTAAAATATACTATATTTCTATTTATAATTATATTAAGTTATAAACTTCTATAAGTATTAATTTTATAAGAACCTTAACTTAATAATAAGATTATTCTTTTAAAGTTATAGTATTAGTAACTAGGCAGTCTAGTTAAAAATAAATACTAAGGGGGTCTTAAAAATAACTATATTTCCTATTCTAGCTTTACTAAAATAAGGGGGCTGCTTATTTATAAAAGGTTTATTAATTTATAAAAAAAATATATATTATTTATAATATTAATGCTATATAAATAAAGGTACTTATATTTTCTTATATACTTCTTTTATTTTAAGTATTACTATCTAGGCACTAATAGATTGCTATTAAGGCACTAGTAAAGGTACCTAAAGAATTTCCTTTAAACTGCTATATTTTAAAAGCTTATTTTCTAGCTAAATAAAAATAAATAAAATATATAAAAAATACATTTTTATAAAAAAATAGCTAAATAATAGGATTTTATTTTTTAAATATTTTATTTATTTTTTTAAAGCTAGTAATTTATAAAAGAAACCTATAGTATTTTAAACTAGCTGTTAATATATAAAAGCTTAAGAAAGCTAGGTAACTTTTTATATAGTTATATAGCCTGCTTTAAAAGGTTTATTAAAATACTAACTATATGCTTATATAAGCTATATTTAGGCTAAAAATAGCCTTTAAACTAAATATAGGTTTTTAAGATTAAAGTTATTTATTAAATAGCTTTTTTATTATATAATCCTAAATTTTATTATATAAATAAGCTAGAACTAAAATCTGTTTTTTATTACTATTTTTCTAGAATTTATTATAGAATTTTAAAGTTAAAGGGAATTTCTATAAGTTTATAAGCATAGACCTCTACTATACTTATTTAAGTTAGTTAGTGCTTAAATAGCAATCTATTAGTGCCTAGATAGTAATACTTTTTATTTTTATAATTATCCTTATTTTATTAAAATTATAAAAAAGTAAGGCATAATTATAATACTAATATATTAACTTTATAATTATAATAATAGCTACTTATAAGCTATATTTTCTTTTTACTATAACTTTATTAAATCTTAACTAATTTTAATTATTTTTATACTAATAAACTGCTTAAAGCCTTACTATTATACTTAAGATTATTAAATTAACTTAAAAATAAATTTACTTATTTTTATATACTATAATATTAAAACACTTAAGGAATATATTATTATAGCAGCTAAGCTATATTAAGAAGGTTATTATTTTACTATAACTATTATAGCTAGGGCTTTTTAAGTTCTTTATTCTAGACTTTATAATTAATTAAAAGGAGCCTATTTACAGTCACTTAATAAAAGTATTACTATCTAGGCACTAATAGATTACTATTTAGGCACTAACTAACTTAAATAGGCATAGTAGAGGTTTATGCTTATAGACTTATAGAAATCTCCTTTAACTTTAAAAATTTATAAAAAATTCTAAAAAAATAATTATAAAAAGCAGATTTAAATTTTAGCTTATTTATATAGTAAATTTTATTATTATATATTAAAAAAGCTTTTTAAGCTAAATTTATAATTTAAAAAACCTATATTATATTTAAAGACTATTTTAAGCCTAAGTAGTGCTTATATAAGCATGCATTTAATATAATAATAAAGCTATTAAAATAAGCTATATAACTATATAAAAAGTTACCTAGTTTTATTAAGCTTTTATATATAAATAGCTAGTTTAAACCACTATAGGTTTCTTTTTTATATAACTAGCTTAAATAAAAATATATAAAATATTTAAAAAAATATTCTTTTATTATTTAGCCACTTTTATAACTAATATTATTTTTTATATATTTTATATATTTTTATCTAGCTAAAGATTTAGCTTTTAAAATACAGTAGTTTAAAGGAAATTCTTTAGGTACCTCTACTAGTGCCTAAATAGCAATCTATTAGTGCCTAGATAGTAATACTCCTTAATAAAGGTAACTATATATTACTATAAGTAGTCCTATTTAAATAGTTAAAAATTCTTATTTAAATAGTAATAGTTTATATTACTAGCTAGGCTAACCCCCTAAGTATAATTACTTATATACTTATATTAAAATATAATATAGTATATTAATAGTTATTATTATTAAGGAGATATTATTAAAAAAAGGGTATAAGATTTAAAACTAAGTAATTAAAGCAGGCTAATTTATTTAAAAATAGCATTTTCTTTAATTTCTTATTAAATATATATATATTTATAATTAGGCTAGCTTATTTTAATTCTTTTAAATTATTAATATTAGCTAGGTAAATAAAATAATAATAACCTTTAATAGTATTATTATTATTACTATTATTATTATTTAAGGTAGTAGTAATAGCTTTTAGTTATTTTTATATTATTTATAATTTCTTTATAGCTAGCTATAATTTAAAACTTATAAATAATTATAAAAAAGCCTTATTACTACTACTATTATTATAATTATATCCTTACTTATATTTTTAAGCCTAGGCTAATAATAAAAGTAAGCTACTACTGCTTTTTATTTTATATTATAATAAAACTTACTATATTAAAAGGTTAAGCTAGTATATTAAAGCTTTTTAATAAGGCTGCTAGTATGCCTTAGTTTATAATAAGGCTGCTAGTAATAATACTTATATAGCTTTATTTTTTTTATTTTCTTTTACTTTAAAAGTTATTAATATAAGTATTTTACTATTATTTAAAAGTTAAAGTTAGTTATAAAAATCTTTAAATTATATTAAGATTATATATATAAAAAAGCAGCTTTTTAAGATTTTAAAATATATATTATTTAATTAAAGTTTTATAAAAAATAAGTAAATATTTTATTAAAGGCTTTATAAGCTATTATTATAAATAGATATTATTTTTATTAAGGGCCTTACTATTTTTTAGCTTTTTATAAATAATATAGCTATAAAGAAGACTATATTACTATATAAAAGAGTATATATATTTAAGCAGAGGTATAAGGTTATTATTTAAGGGTATTATAATACAGGCAAGTTAATACTACTTAGTTAAAAGATTAATATAATAATAGCTAATTATTAAAAGGATATTTTTAAGCTAGCTTTATTAAATAAATTACTGCTGCTGCTATATTTATAAAGTAGTCCTATATAAACAGTTAAAAATCCCTATTTAAATAGTAATAGTTTATGCCTATACTAAACTTACTGCGCCTATACTAATGCCCTTATAGCTATATACTTAATTATAATATAAAAGGCTAGTAATACCTATAGCTATAATATAATACTAAGACTTTATTATTTTTAGCTATTTTTTTACCCTTATCCTTAAGTATTATAATTTTTAATATTATAAATATTAAGATTATAATAATAAATAGTTAATTAAAGCTGCTATTATTTTTAAAGTTATTATAAAGCACTAGACTTATAGTAATTTATAAGTTTTATAGCTTTTTAATACTAAAAGTATTATTAATATTAAAGGCAGTATAATATAATAATAATAAGCTTAATAATAGTAACTTTAATATATTAAAAATAGTAGTATTATAAAGGCTAGGGCTAGAGCTAAAGCTAAAGCTAGTAATAGTAGTAGTAATAATAATAATAGCTATAAAATTTAATATTAATAATAACTTTAAACTTAATATAAAGTGGCTATTTATAATATAATTTCTTAATAACCTTAACTTCTTTAATTTTAAAGATTTAGCCTTTCTTTTTTAAGAAAAGATACTATTACTACTGCCTTTATATATTAAAAAAGTATTAAAACTACTGCTTATATATACTATACTATTATAATAAGCTTAAGTAATTATAAAAGCTTTTTAATAATAAGATAAAATTATAAAAGTCTTATAAGCAGCTTAAAAGGCTATAAAAGCTATATAATAAGTAGTAAATAATATAAATAATATAAAAGACTTAAAAGTATTTAAGTAAACTATAAAAGCTATAAACTTATAATAGTAATTACTATTAATATTATTATAAATTTTACTATTACTATTATTAAATATTTATAACTTATTTAATAGAGTAATCCTATTTAAACTATAGCATATTCCTATTTAAACTATAGTAGTCTATGCCTATACTAAAATTATTATATTTACACTACTAGTCCTAAAGCTGCATACCTACTTATAGTATAAGCTGCTAGGATATCCTATAGCCTATATAATAACATTATAAATAACAGTATTGCAATCTTTAATATATAGACCCTTTGCCTTTATTATTATAACTATTATTACCCTAGGGCTAAAGTAATAACTGCAGCAGCACTAGCACCAGCACCAGCACCAGCAGCACTAGCCACACTAGCAGCACTAGCAGAGGCAGCAGCACTAGCAGAGGCAGCAGCACTAGCAGAGGCAGCAGCACTAGCAGAGGCAGCAGCAGAGGTAATAGCACTAGAGGTAGCAGCAGCAGGGCCTCCTTACAGTTATCTATAAGTTCTAAGTTACAGCTAGCTACCTACCTATATAGAGTTTAAGAGTAAGCCGGCAATAGTTAAAAGCTAATGCCGCTGCTGTCCCTTCTAGTAATATCTCCTTAATAGTAATAACTGCTAGTATGCTATACTGTATTTTATTATATAGGCGTAGACCTTATTACTTAGGGGTATCTCTCTAGCTATTATATAACTTACTACAGTTTAAATAGGAATATACTATAGTTTAAATAGGATTACTTATTTAATAAGCTTTTAGCCTTTTTATAAAGATTTTATTATAATTAAAATACTGCTATTAAAATTATAAAAAGTATTAACCTTTAAGAGGTTAATAATTAGTAAATTAAAATATACTATATTTTTATTTATAATTATATTAGGCTATAGACTTTTATAAGCACTAGCCTTTAAAAAACCTTAACTTAATAATAAAATTATTTTTTTAAAATTATAGTATTAGTAATTAAGCAGTTTAATTAAAAATAAATATACTATATTAACTGCCTTAATTATAACTACCTTTTATTTATTAAGCTATCTGCTTATATTATATATTAGTATTAAATAGCAGCCTAGTAGTAGTAAAAGTATAATTTTATAAAATATTAAGCCCTTTCTGCTTAAAAATAACTAAGATCTTTAAAAATATAATTAATAAGCCTACTAAGGGGGTCTTAAAAATAACTGCATTTCCTATCCTAGCTTTACTAAAATAAGAGGTATATTAATTTATAAAAGGTCTATTAATTTATAAAAACAAGATATATTATTTATAATACTAATACTATATAAATTAAGGTATTAATATTTATTTATATACTTTATTTATTTTTAAAATTATATTACTTAAATTATAATAGGAAAAAAAACTTTATATAATACTATAATACTAATATATTATTTTTTATAATTATAATACCTGCTATATATAAGCTATATCTTCTTCTAGCTATAACTCTCTTAAATCTTTATTATTTTTAATTAATTTAATAGTAATAGAATCTTTAAAGCCTTATTAATATACTTAAGATTATTAAATTAAAAGTATTACTAGGGGGGCACTAGTCTTTTACTAGGGGGGCACTAGTTAAAGTACTTAAAAATTTTCCTTATAACTCTATAACTTTAAACACTTATAACTAAGCTAAATAAAAATAAAAAAAATATTTAAAAAATACTATTCTATTAACTAAAACCTATATATACTTAAAATATTTTTTTTAAATACTTTTAAAGCTGTATTAATAATAAAGTTTTAAGAGAAACTTAAGCTATATTTAAGTATAAAGTCTTTTATAATACTTTAGTATAATTAGGTAACTTCTTATATATTTCTATAGCTTATTTATTAAAGATTTATATTTTACTTAATGTATATTTATATAATAGCTACTTACTTAAAAAATACTACTTTAACTTAAAGTAAGATTTTTAAGCTTAATATAACTAATAAACTTATATTTCTAGGTTTAATATATTTTTTAAATATAAAAAGAACCTAGATATTAAATAAAAATCTTATAAATAATTTTCTAGAATTTTTTATAGATTTTTAAAGATAGAGGAAGTTTCTGTGGGTCTGTAAGCACAGGGCCTTTACTATAAGTAATCCTATTTAAACCATAGCATATTCCTATTTAAACCATAGTGGTCTATGCAACAGCTAGAGAGACACCCCTAAGTGGTAAGGTCTAAGGGTTATTACTTAACTATTACTCTTATAGCTAAATCTTTTTAAGTTCCTTACTTAAGACTATATAGTTAACTAAATAGGCATTATTTATAATTACTTAATAAAGGTAACTATATATTATTATAACTAGAAGAGAAATATAAAATCCTTATCTAGGCTTATTACTATATAACTTAAGGATATTATATATAACTTTATATTTTATAATACTATATTAATATTATTTTTATAGCTAAGGGTAATATAATAATAGTCTTATATTCTTAAGCTAAGAGATTTATATAAAGGTTAAAGCAGGACTTTTATATTTATAAGTCTACTTTTTATAATATAAAATATAAGGCTATATAAGATTAAAGCATTATTAAGTTATTTTTTTATATATAAAAACAGTTTTTAATAAAATATTAAGTAAGGAAAAGGAATATATAGAATTTTAATAAAACTAGCTTTATAATAGGCTATTTTTTTATTAAAATACTTTTCTAGACTTTTATTTTAGTTAATAACCTAGTCTTAACTAATTCTTATAATACTATATCTATTACTGCTATTAAGGCAATCTTTATTAAAGGTAAAACTATTCCTTTTTTTATTATTCTTCTTAAAGTCTAGCTATTAATAAAGTGGTTTAAAAATAACCTTATTAGTAATATAATACTTACTATAAGTCTAAAAGGCTATACTATTAAGTAAAGGAGTATATGCATTTAGGCAGAGAGTCTAGATTTAGGTTAATATTTAAAGGTATTATAGCTATAGTAAGTTAATACTGCTAAGTAAGGAGATTAACTTTAATATATTTAACTATTAAAGTAATATTTTTAAGCTAGCTTACTTACTAAATAAAGTATTAGCACTGCTATATTTATATTTAAGCTATATTATTATAGTCCTTTTTTTTTCTTTTTTATTATTTAAAGGATTATATTATATAAATATAAAAGATTACTAATATTAATAAAAAAAAAGACTTAATATTTTTATAAGTTATTTTTATAAAACTATTAACTCTTTAATTAAAGTTATAATAGTATTTAATAAAGTAATAAGCCTACTGCTTTTATTATAGTATATATTCTTTTAAAATATAATATAAAATATAGATTTATATTATAATATAGGTTAACTTTATTATAGCTTAAGATAAATAAAACTCTCCCTTATCTTTAATAAAGATAATATTCCCTTAATTAAAAAAACATACTCTTATATATTAGCTTTTTTTTAAGCTATAAGCTTGCTAAAAGCTATAAGCTTACTGCTTAACGCTTAGTAGCTTTAGCTTCTTATTATATTACTATAATGCAGAAGGCTTAAATAGTAAGGTTATTATTAAGACTATTATAAAAACTACTTTTAAAAATATTACCTTTATTTTTATTTTTATTATTATTATTATTATTATAGCTATTAAGGCTTTTTTAATATATTTAAATTTATACTTATATATTTATATTAATATAGTAAATATAAAGTTACTATTATAAAGTTAGGAAGATTATAATTAAGGTATTTTTAAGTGCTTTTTCTTTATTAGTAATAATTATAAATAGCGCTAAAGCTAGGATTTCTTAATAAAGCTACTTTAATTTTTTATAAAGCTATAAAAAGCTATTTTCTTTTTTTAAATTAATAAGACTAAATATAAAATTAGTAATAAACTTTTAATTAATAATACTAATAGCCTTAAATAAGAATATACTAAAATAGTTAGTTTTATAAGTATTATTAATATTAAAAACCTTTAAGAATTAATACTATATATTTTTATATTAAGGATAGGTTTATATAACTCCTTTTATTTTTATTTTATTATTTAGCTTAATATAATGCTTTAGGTTATTATCTTAAAATTACTTAATTTAAGCTTAAGTAGTAAAAAGACTGCTTAAGCCTTAAAGGTATATTTTTAATTTATTATTATAAATATTAAAATCTTAAAAGAAAGTAAAGCTATTAATTAAATCTTAAATAATCTTAATTATCTTTTAAATAAAAAGGGCTTAGTATTTTATAAAATTATACTTTTATTACTATTAGGCTAAGGTTTAGTAATAATATATAATATATACTTAAGGATTAAGTAAAGGCAGATAGTTATATTTAAT